TATTAGGAAGAATTGCTACAGCGAAAATGAACATACTACCGAAAATCTTATTCCTTTTTTTTAAAACAAATTTTATTAAATGTACATTTTAAAAACAAAAATGGACATGATTCAACTTCCCTGGCTTCAACATTGCTATTAATATTACCTTATGTTACAGAAAGAAAAACAGAAACTTAAAATACATTCTATAACAGGACAGAGTATAACAAACTGTGCATATAACATCTGTAAATTTTTTGATAAACCATCTTTCAATCATCAATGTTGTATTTACATATCATTCAGTTGTGTCCTAATATAGGTACTAATAAGAAGTCCTTATAATATCAACTAGTCAATCGATAATCATCTCAGCGATCCTCCTTATCTCTAACCAATCATACAATTTTTCCAAATTTCATAATTCTCCGTTTCAGTTTTATTTTTCATCTCTAGAGTTAACCTGTCCATTTTGGCGCAGGATAAAATTTTATTTATTATTTCTTCCTCAGTGGGGGTTTCTTTCCTTTCCATTTTTGGGCGTATGCCAATCTTTTTTTTATCTATTTTTGCTAGCCTTGTAGGGGGAAGGTGCCATCTATAAAACTTCTTGTATAAATCTGAAAACCTTATTCTTATTCCAAACAATACCTATAAAATTTGAAAAAAAATTCTTTGAAGGCTTAAATTTATTAATCTTGAAATTTATTTGGCAAGGAAAGAAAGCTAGAATTAAGATGAAAATGTTACAAGATGCCAAGGAAAATAGAGGTCTTGGTTTACCAGAGTGGGTTTTATATTATCAAGCATCTGCATTAACATGGGTAAAAGAATGGATAACTCTTAGAAATAAAAGGCTGTTATATCCGGAGGGGCATGATTTACAATTGGGGTCGCACACTTTTTTATGGTATGGGAAAAATAAAATTCATAAATATTTCCAAAAACAATATGTAAGAAATGCATTATTAACAACGTGGGAAAAAATAAAATGTAAAATATATTTGAAAATTCCAGGGTAGTTGTCAATCATGGAAGCATTTGTACACCTAAATTTAGTGAACTTTGAAAAAATCTGGACATATAGAAATATTCTAAACTCTGAAGGGAATTTTAAATCTAAACAAGAAAGGGAAAATCAGGGTATCAATTTATCATGGTGGGTACATTTACAAATGCAAGCTAGATATTATAAAGATATTAAACTGTATGGATTTTATAAGGAACAAACTGTGTTTGATAAGACATTGCTAACTTTTGATGAGAAACTAATTAAGAAAATGTATAATTTTCTATTTACTTTGAAAATGGAAAGCGAACAAGTTAAAGAAACAATGATAAGATGGGCAAAACATTTTGGATACAATATAGAATTAGAAAAATGGCAAAATTTATGGGAAAGAAATTACAAACTGACAATGTCAACTTCCTACAAAGAAAAATTATATAAAATGTTTTACAGATGGCACTAGTCACCAGCAAGACTAACAAAAATGTTCAAAAACATGTTAGATAGATGTTGGAAATGTAAACATAAGTCAGGCATTCATTATCACGTTTAGTGGACATGTGACAAAGTAAAGAGTTATTGGAAAAAGATACATGTCTGGCTAGAAAAGATGTTGGGAGAACATGTAGATTTTAAACCTGAACTTTTTAAATTAGGTATAATGCCAGAAAAGATTAACAAACAAAGCATATATTTGATTTTCATGTCACAACAGTGGCAAGAATTATATTTGCGCAATACTGGAAAAATGAAAGAATACCATCAGATGAAGAAATAATTAAAAAAAATACTAGAATGCGCAGAGATGGATAGACTGACTATGAGACTGAAAGAAAAAGAAGAAACAGAATATTATCAAACTTGGGACCTATTTTATCAATGGTTAGAGAAAAGATTTAGGGATTAGGAATTTAATTTGTATTAGTGAATAAGATATTCAGACAACACGTTTTATTGAATAATTACCATTGAATTCTGTTAAAAATAATCAATAAAACTTTTTTAAAAAGATAGAAATGGTATTGGTCATGCTTTTGAATGATCTCTGGTTGGGGCAGGATGGGGATAGTGTATTCATCTTGGCTCTATCTCATCTCTTGGCCATCCTCAACACCATTAACTATGATATTTTTCTGGAATGGCTATGTGGTCTGGGAGTGGGTGGCACTGTATTGTGCTGGTTCTCTTCTTTTTTACGGGGCAGACACTGGTTGGTATTGATTGGGAATGAGAGTCCCTTTATTATGTGGAACGACACTGGGTTTGGTACTTTCTCCATTCCTGTTTAACATCTACATGAAGCTGTGGGGGAATTATATATTTCTACCCCGGCAAACTAAGAAATGCTGTTGATGTCCTATGTCAATGCCTGGAAGCTGTGTATATCTGAATGGGAAACCATAGGCTTCAACTCAACCTTGGAAAGACTGAGTGGTTGGGGGTTTTAGGGCCTTCTAGATTTGGGACTTTACCATCTTTGTTAATGGAGGGATAGCACTGCCCCAAATAGACATGGTGCACAATCTGGGGGGGGGGGGGAATCCTTTTGGGATGCATAGATCCTGCTTGAAGAGCAGGTGGCAGTCATGGATAGGAGGAACTTTGCACAGCTTTGTGTTGTGTGCCAGTTGTGCCCATTCCTGGGTGGTGTTTTCATTACCTTTTGAATGCTGACCAAATGGACTATTATAATGCACTCCAGAAAAGGCTGCCCTTGAAGAAACATCTGGAAGCTTCAACTGGTACAAAATGTGATGGTGCAGGCAGTTACAGTACGTGTACTCCCAAGAATGGCACATGTTACACCTTTGCTCTGCAAGCTGCATTGGTTGCTGGTTTGCTTTCTTGTTCAATTGAAGATGCTGGCTTTATTTCTAAAATCCCACAGGCATGAACCCAGGTTATTTGAGGGACTGACTTTCCCCAATTACATATACCGGTCCCATGAGGCCTAGTAGGAGAGGCATGTTATGGGTATTGTGGATATTGTCTGCTAAGAAGGAAGGCCTTTTCTGCTTTGGCACCCGTTCTTTGGAATGTCAATCTCCCTGAGGTGATATTAGCCCCAATCCTACTGGCATTTATGAAATCCCTCTTCAGCAGCACTGGGGACCCCAAAGAAATGGGGATCTTATGAGATAGTTACACTGTATATCAAATGCTGATACATTTATCCCATGTTGTTATTTTAATTTGTATTTAATTGTTTAAGCTATTGAGTCACATTTGTGAGATAGGTAGCTATACAAACTCGAGAATATACTCTTCCCCCTCCCCGTGTGCGCACACAAACACACACACATACTGTATATAAAATCTTTTCTCACAGGAGACCTCTATCTCTTAGGAGTTTTGCTGACACTTTTTGTATCTTTTAAGCTGTGTAATGCCCCTTTTAATAAAAATTGTATCTAGTACTTCAAGAATGTGCTCACCATGGATTTGTGTCAGAGCAATTTCATACTGGCAGTTCTGTTTTCAGTGAAGAAAGAGTTCAGTCATAAACGGAATCATAGTGAGATGGTTAACAGAGTCAGATTGGGTTAGTAGTTGGGTGGGAAGCCATGAAGAACTTCTAGGGCTAGGTTGAACAAGACTGGGAAATTAAAAACACATAGAAGGTGGCAATACAAGGCCATTTCCATATGCTGGCAAGCAAATCATACAGACATAGCTCCACGGTCACTAGATGTTGAGTCTAACCAGTGGTGGGATTCAAATATGTGAACAACTGGTTCTCTGTTTGGATGCCACTTCCGGAAGACCATTCTGCGTCTGGGCAACAAAAAATTAGCTACCGGTTCTGCTGAACTGGTGCAAACTGGCTGAATCCCACCACCAAGTCTAACAACAGGGTGATTTTACCTTTCATGTTTGTTTCGAAATGATATTGAATTTGTGATGTTTAAACTCTGCATTACAAGGTGGGGTTTTTTTATGTAACTATTTTTGTTTTAATTAAAAAACTACTACAAATTATCCAGAAGATTCACAGCACTGAGGAAGACTTTGTTTAAAATGTCTGGTTTAAGAGTGCCATCAGGGATATTAGACTGCTTTATGAAGGTTACCTTTTTATAATATTTTGATAGATGATTGTTATATCAAATTACAAACACACAAACAGACATATAGATACATATACACAATACATTGACCAATCAATGAGGCATTTTGCTCTTCTACAGAATTTATTTATTTGTTTGCTTATTTAATTATTTATTACATTTATAAAGCTGCCCATCTTTCGATCAACTCTGGGTGGCTCCCAATCAAAAATTAAAAATAATATAAAATCATATCAAACTATGAACCATAACAAATTAAAACATGAAAAACACCAAATCCTGGCATATATCTTGCATGAATGGTATCAGATCAGTTCTAGATTAGTTTTAATATAAGCATTTAAGAAATCCTTGTGCTATAGTTGGAGTTCAAAGAATTTTGGTGATGTTATTTTCAAGCCTTCAGTATTTTCTTTTAATCAACCTTTTTTGATGCTACATAGGCTTGTGATTTTTCCTGTGACCCTGTAAGGACCCACCCCACTTTGCATCTTAAGAAGACAGAACTCTTGGAATAATTCTTCCAACAGGAATCCTTTATTAAGAGAAAATGATTGCAGGCATGCTAGACAGGACTTGGGGTCCAAGCTCTCCCATTCAAGGTTTTAAGGGGTTCCCCAGTAGTCCCACCCAATCAACCCCCCTTCCAGTGATAGTTTCAAGTATCACAATTCCACTCCCTTTCTTCTTTCTTCCGTCTGGATGGAGACTTCAGATAACTACATGAAAGGCAACTTCCCTCCTTTGGTATGTTAACGCTTCGAGGTTACAATAAACACACATTCAGCATTCAGCTCTTTGAAGTGTAAAGAAGGAAGTGAGGGCCATAAAGCCCCTTTGTTCTCCCCCTTCTCTCCCTCTTATGGCAGAATCCAGAGAAGGTAGAATTGGGAGTTTCTATATTTGATAATTTAAAGATGAAATATAATTGGATTCTGACAGACCCTTTGAACTTACAGTTTTCATCCCTAGCCTCTACTCCTGCTGATGTTTCCCTTAGACATTCATAGGACATTCATGCAAAGTATATGAAATCAAATGTCAAGTAAGAATTTGCTGATACTAAAAGATGCCATGATTTTAAGATATTTCCGGCAAAAATAAAAAATATTGAATGGGAAGCCCACTATATTATTTTATTTTGGCAGAAGCAAATAGCAGAGCAGTCTGACTGCATCTTTTTATCCTGGCAGCCAGCTTGTTGGACCAAACTTTTGCAATTCGTGTACTTATCTTCTTTTGTGCAAGGATTTGCTGAAATTTTTAAAAAGAGAAAAACGTAAATAAAAGTGAGACATCACCAAAAGTACAGCTTGCTAGGGACTCTTTTACAATTTTATGCATTGTTTTAGAGCTCAACATCAAAGTTATTTTTTTTCTTAAGGGGTGGATTCAAAGCTGAAGATTTTTAAAAATGAAAATAGTACTTAGAGTAATTATTTTAGAGTATATATTAGAATGATTATATGCAGCTGCTGAATTATTATTTTCATCAATAGTCCTGAACAAAATCTAAGAAAAAGCTGGTATGGATTTTAAGTTCTTCCTAAGCTGAAATCGATTGATATCGTCCTCGTCTTCCCTGATTCAATTATCTGGGTTCATCAACCACTAGTGTGGGAGCATATAGAAGCACCATTGAGGCAACTCTGGATGTCTGGTTATCCCACGATAGCATGCTTCATGTATGTGTTGATCCAGATGTCTTGCCTAGGCCTATCTTACTGGATAGTTGGCTATCTTCCATTAAACCTGTTATTCTACCTAGAGATGATTAGCTACTCATATGAAATCTGTTCTTTGCTGACATGACATGACCTTTAAAAATGTTGGTTTAATAATTTACTTTAAAAAAAACTTACTGAATAATCCATTGTCACAAGCGGAAGGACAATCCCCACAAGGTGGCCCGGATTTATATGGAGTAGCAGTTTTACCTATGATGTTTCCTCTGGAATGAAAAAGATGAACAGAAATGCCATACATTATTACTGTTCCATTTGTGATTGATGAAACACCCATGCCATTTCAATAGATAATTGACTTTGGTTGCATTGTCTTGGTTTCTCTGGTTTGAGTTTCCAGTTTTGAGAGAGCAGACAGCACTACCATCAGAGGGGAAGACCTGACTTCTGAAGTCTTCTCCAAAAGGGAGTAAACCCTGTCAAGTTTTGTGAGAGAGCAAAAAAGGATTTTTCTGGCTTGTTAGAGAAAGAATTGAGGGAAACTCTGACTTCCTCCTAATGTCTTCCTTCTTCCCCTCTTTCATTTCTCCTCCGAAACATTCTCCTTCTCCCATCTCTCTATCTTTCTCAATTCTCTCTAACCAATACAGAAAAGATTTCCCCCTTTCCTGCCAATTGTTATGTCCCGAGCCTTGCAAACGGCTCGGGCGTTTGCAGGCAGTCCCGGGCAGGTGCAAAGCTGCCCGGGACCAGACAGGCTGTCGCCAGCGCCGTGCGCATGCGCGGCTGCTGGCATGGGAAAAGTAACACATTTACCCGGGAAGCGTCTATATAAGAAGCTGGGAGGTTTTGGGAGCTGCTGAAGCCATCTACTTGTAAGCTGAACGCTGAATAAAGGAAACTGAGAACTTCAACTGCTTCTCGTGTCTGCTTCCCGCCAAGGACTCAACACTGGCGACGAAGGTGGGATGCCTTGCACTACCTGGAAAGGAAGAAGTGTAAGCTTACCCAAGGAGTCCTGAGCGGCGGAAAGGAACGGCGTCGACTCGGCAGCTGCCCGCCAATCTGGTGCGCATTCGGGGGTAGGCTGGCTGATAGACCCGTCTCCTGAAGATCTAAAGATGGCAAAAATCGGAAGGCTTTCGGAATTCGACGTCTCACATCCAGAGCGGTGGGAGTCATACGTAGCCAGGGTGGAGAACTACTTCAAGGCAAACCAAGTGAGGGAAGAGAGCTTGAAGGCTGCCACCCTGCTTTGTGTTTGCGGTCAAGACACCTTCGACATCGCAGAAAACCTTGCAGCACCTGTTCCAGTAGAGTCTGTCAGCTACGCAGATCTGAAGAAGCTACTGAAAGAGCACTTCCACCCCAAGATGTCCGTCATCGCATGGCGCCACACCTTCGAGCAGAGGGATCAACGGCCCGGCGAGTCGGCCAAAGAATTCATCGCCGCATTACGGAAGGCCGCCAAGCACTGCGAGTTCAAAGACCTCGAAGAACGACTGAGGGACCGATTCGTGTGCGGGTTAAGGCATCGAGATCTACAACAGAGACTTTTCGCTAAAGAAGAACTGTCCTACCAAGATGCCTTAAGGGAAGTCACCGCAGAAGAAGCAGCAGGCGGCGCTATCAAGAACATGCGGCCGATCAGAAATAGTCCAGAGGTTGCATCCGTGCACCAGGAAGACGCCCAAAGGAACTCCGAGGAGGATCCGGACGAGGAAGTCGACCGTCTCCACCCCACGACGGAAGAAAAACAGAAGGGAAGCTCTTCAGCTCCGCTCAAGTGCATCGGCTGTGGAGGTCGCCACAGGACAACCGACTGCAAGTTCCGCTCCGCTACCTGCTGGGCATGCGGCAAACAAGGACACATTGCAGCTGTGTGTCTGGGCCGACAAAAGGTACAACCTCAGGAAGAACCGCGCCTGAAAGGTACCAGATTCCCCAGCCAGAATAGGGTAGGGTTTTGCGCTTCGCGAAGAAGCATCCTTAGGACAGGCACACACAAGCCAATTAAGAAAAAGCTGTCACTCAAGGTGAAGCTACAAGGGGTTCCATTATCTATGGAACTAGACACAGGGTCTGCCTTTTCAATTATCTCCTTGCATACATTTAGGAAGATTTGTTCCGGTAGTGGAACTCAGGCCAAGTTAAGGCCTTCTGACATTGTGTTAACAGATTTTCAAAATTCAAGAGTGTGTGTTAAGGGGGAAGCCACCCTTAACGTGCAATACAAGAGTTTTGAAGGTCCACTAGACTTATTAGTAGTAGGGGGTGAACGAACGAGTCTCATAGGACTCAATTGGTTTGAGGCCCTGGGGATACACGTCACAGGACTCAACAGTTTACAAACACTCGACCTACAGGAAGTCTGCAAAGAATTTGCAGATGTTTTCAGCCCCCAGCTGGGCACATTCAAAGGACCCCTGTGTCCTTAAAGCTAGACCCCACTGTCACTCCCATTAGAATTAAAGCAAGAAGGGTCCCTTTTGCTTTAAAGAGTAAAATTGACACTGAGTTAGACAAACTGATTCAACAGGGAATCCTAGAACCTGTTGATTCCAGTCCTTGGGAGACCCCCATTGTCACGCCTCTAAAGGCAAATGGGGACATTCGCATTTGTGCTGACTACAAATGCACTCTTAATAAGGCATTGCAGCAACATGCCTATCCTGTTCCTGTGGTCAGTCATATTCTGGCCTCCCTCAAGGGGGGGCGCGTTTTTGCAAAGCTTGACCTAGCTCAAGCGTATCAACAGCTGTCTGTTGATGATGATGCTGCTATAGCTCAGACTATTGTGACCCACAGGGGAGCCTTTAAGGTAAAAAGGCTGCAGTTTGGAGTGAATGTCGCTCCTGGGATTTTCCAAAGCGTAATGGAAAACACACTACGGGGTATACCAGGGGTGTGCCCCTACTTTGATGATGTCTTAATTGCAGGAGACTCCACACACATTCTAGCTGAAAGGCTAAGGGCTGTTCTGTTAAGATTCAGGAAGTCAGGCCTCAAGCTCAAAAAAGACAAATGCAAGATTGGGGTGCCTTCTACTGAATTTCTGGGGTTCAAAATTGATTCTGCTGGAATTCACCCTGCTGAATCCAAACTGACAGCTATTTTAGAAGCACCTAGGCCAAAGTCCAAGGCCGAACTTCAGGCCTTCCTGGGCCTCCTGAATTTCTACAATTCTTTTCTTCCACATAAAGATAGTGTAGCTGAGCCTCTTCACAGGCTACTAGACAAACAAGCAGTGTGGCAGTGGTCACATACACATGAGGCTTGCTTTAACAAAGTCAAGGCCTTGCTCACTTCTAACAGTGTACTTGCACATTTCAACGAATCTATTCCTGTGTGCATCGCATGTGATGCGTCCCCTTACGGGGTAGGAGCTGTCCTGAGCCACCTCAGGTCTGATGGAACTCAGGTTCCTGTTGCATATTACTCCAGAACACTGTCTTCTGCTGAGCGCAACTACGCTCAGATAGACAGGGAGGCTCTGGCTGTTGTCGCTGGAATTAAAAAATTCCACAATTTTCTCTATGGCAGGCATTTCACGGTCTTTACTGACCATAAGCCTCTGCTGGGACTGTTTACCACACGTAAGCAGACTCCCCAAATCATTTCCCCTAGAATGCTTAGGTGGTCTATTTTTCTGTCTGCATATGATTTTTCTTTACTCCACCAGCCTGGGAAAGAAATGGGCCATGCTGATGGCCTCAGTAGATTGCCTCTGCCAGTAGTAGAAGCTGACCCTGCGCCAGCTGTCAACATTCTATCAATCCAAGCCTTGCCGAGCTCCCTCTTAGTGCCAGGGATGTTACCGCTGAAACAGGTACAGATTACACACTTTCACGTGTCCGTTCCTGGGTTTTGTCTGGTTGGCCTGAGCACTGCCCTAGTCCTGAGTTTCAGAGTTTCTGGTCCAAAAGAAACGAGTTGTCCCTTTCTCAGGGTTGTCTGCTTTGGGGAAACAGAGTTGTCATTCCCTCCTCAATGAGGACTAGGGTCTTAGAATCCCTCCACGAGGGTCATCCTGGCATTGTTCGTATGAAGGCTCTTGCATGCAGCCACTTGTGGTGGCCTGTTTTAGATAAGGATTTTGAGGCTCAGGTGCATGCATGCCACCTGTGCCAACGATCTCGCCCAGAGATGCCCCAAGCTCCCGTGCATAAATGGGAGGAAACGCAGTCCCCATGGTCTAGGGTGCACATTGACTACGCTGGGCCCTTTCAGGGCCAGTTCTTCTTGGTCCTTGTTGACAGCCATTCAAAATGGCTTGAGGTTGTATCTGTCTCTTCCACCACCACTGCAAAGACTATTCAGGTACTGAGGGGGATTTTTGCTGCACACGGGCTCCCAGATGTCATCGTGTCTGACAACGGCCCGCAATTTACGTCCTCCGAATTCCAAGCTTTCTTACAGGCTAACATGATTCGTCATGCCACGTCTGCACCCTTCCACCCGTCCACCAACGGTATGGCTGAACGTATGGTGCGCATCACAAAGGACGCCTTGAAAAGACTCACCTACAGGGACTGGCATCACAGGTTGGCTGACTTTCTCCTTTCTTATCGCACCACACTGTCCACTTCTACAGGGAGAAGCCCAGCTGAACTTCACTGGGGGCGTCAACTTACTACTAAACTTGACCGGTTGCATCCGGACAGACTGCCTTCATCTACCTCACATCCTAGGGCACTGAGACAACTACTTGTGGGTGCCCCGGTTTGGGCTCACAATTACGGGCCTGGTCATACCTGGGTCCCCGCTTCTATTTCCAGGGTCACAGGTCCTCTCTCCTACGAGGTAGCCCTGGACAACGGTCGTGTCCTGCATCGGCACATCGACCAACTCCGCCCTAGGCGGGACTTTTCAGATGAGACTCCTGGGTCTTTTCCAGGGGGGGAGGGGGACCCTTTGGAGCAAAGGGAAGGGCACGAGCTGCTGTCCATCTCCACTGATGGAGCCACAAACGGCCCATCCCAGGGTTCCGCAATTGCTCCGAAAAGGAATTCATGGAGCTTACCCACACAACAGGCACTCACGCCTACTCCAGCCAGGGAGTCACCCCGGGGGCATACTCACCTTCCACACACATCACACAGCACTCCAGTCACGGAGGATCCCCGGGGGCATCCCAACAAATCATTCCCCACAAGAGAGCTGGCACACAATCCCCAAGGTTGGCCTGACCTTACCCCAAATTCTACAGGGGGTCAAACATACAGGGAGGTGGTCGAGGAAACAAGTCCCGACTACAACACCTCTAGCCCAAATCAGGGAGTAACTGAGTTTTGGGAAAGTACAGGAACCCACACAAGCCCGGACACAGAACGGGGTTCAGGGAATGGTCAGCCTCCTGACAGGTCTTGGACGGACCTAGGAGGTTCAACAGAGACGCCCAGCAGTGGCTATCACTTCAAGGGGACCGAGGGTCTACAGCTAGGCAGGTCAACCAGGTCACAAAGTGACAGAAGCCCTGGCCTGACGAGCCCGGTGGGCAAGCAAGCAGGCCAGGCATGGGGGCACAGTCCTTGGAAGGCACCAAGGCAAAATAAGGAGAACAGGCTCACATCTCCCTCCAGTCAGGGAACTCATGCTAGTAACCCAGAGCTGAGAAGGTCACAGAGAGCAAAGAAGTCTCCTAAATACTTAGAGGATTACATAACATTGCTGGCAAGGCAAAAGCCAGTAATCAGTGGGAGCACTGGGGAGCAAAATGTCATATAAAATAAATGTTGTATGTTGGTAGTAGTTTTAGCCCGGGGGAAAGGGGTGTTATGTCCCGAGCCTTTTCAAACGGCTCGGGCGTTTGCAGGCAGTCCCGGGCAGGTGCAAAGCTGCCCGGGACCAGACAGGCTGTCGCCAGCGCCGTGCGCATGCGCGGGTGCTGGCGCGGGAAAAGTAACACATTTACCCGGGAAGCGTCTATATAAGAAGCTGGGAGGTTTTGGAGAGCTGCTGAAGCCATCTACTTGTAAGCTGAACGCTGAATAAAGGAAACTGAGAACTTCAACTGCTTCTCGTGTCTGCTTCCCGCCAAGGACTCAACACCAATCATATACCATGATAGCTTGAGGATGCAAGTCTGCCTTCTATGCCTATCATCCATGTTGTCTCTCTGCAGGTTATTTCCCATGTATTGCCCATAGTTGGAGAGGGATCATGTGACAAACATGTGACTGCAGATTGAAGATTTCCAGTTCCGTTCCTGGAATTGCCACTCAAGTTAAAAAGAATAAGATGGATGAAAAAGTAAGCAAAATGAATACAAAACAATGAAAAATTAAGGAAATTAAAATAAGTAAAATCTAATATTGTATATTGTATATGTCCATGTAGTAAATAATTTGTCTCTTCACTCATATCAAAAGTAGTAATTTGGTGTTCTGGGGGCTGCATTCAATACTTGGGTTACATCCAGGTCTAGAAGGAGAAAGAAAATATCTATTCATCCACAGCTTTCTATTTTTTTTTTATTTTCTGGATGGATGGATGAATTGAAAGAGTTTCTTGGCTACTCCATTCCAGAATGACTCTGTTCAGCTTCACGAATTAAAGAAACAGTATTATATTAAAAACAGATATCCAAGCAATATCATAACATCCTACCACATCATGACCAACACAGAAGGGAAATTGTCTGCAGAATTATATAGGTAGTCTTCATTCAGTGATTGACTTAGATAGCAAAATTTGATGGCAACAAAAAATTAACGTTGCGGTCAATCCTTGCTTTTACAACTTTGCAGGTCTGTAAAAGTAAAGGAAAGTAAGATCGACACTGTAACACAGTCAAGATTCCCCTTTGGGACCACTTGGCTTAATGACCGAGTTGCTAGTCCAAATTGTGGTAATTAAATGAGGACTACCTGTATAGCCTTTTATTTAAAAATTCCAAAGTCAGTTTTGATTTAAATCTATTCATAACCCAGCACAGAAACAATACAGATAAATAATTGGAAGATATATTCCTGAAATATAACTGTGTATGTCAGCCAATCTTATGAAAATTTAAGTATTTTTGATTCTATTGCTTGCTAAAAGCATCTGCAGGAAGGAACAGTGATGTTAGAGCACAACTTTGTGGCTTAACATGTTGTGTTTAATCAGGGCACAAGAAAAAAAGGATGGGATTTGCATTGTACTGTCATAGAGTACATATACTTCTTTTTTTACAGCAATTATACAACGGTAATCTAATATTTACATTTGCCCCTTATTCTTCTTTAGAATATTTGTCCTTATAGCCCTGTTATTTCTTATTTACATTTTTTTACCTTCATGTTCTACTTCTTACTAAGAATAATTCATATTAATATTATTATACACATATTTTCACTTTTGACCTTTCCATATTTATTCTCCTCTATTAATTCTAGTCTCCAACCAGACATACAACTTGTTCCATATTATATAATACTCTGCGTCTTCCTTTTCTTTTATCTCTTTTGTTAATTTGTCCATCTCAGCACAGTCCAGGATTTTCCTTATCACTTCTTCCTCTGATGGTATATTCTCATTTTTCCAGCACTGTGCATATGCTATTCTTGCCGCTGTTATTATATGTAAAATTAAGTACCATATTTCTTTACTATATTTTCTATTTAAAATATCCAACAAAGAAATCTCTGGTTTCCAGTCTATGGGTTGGTCTATTATTTCTTGGATCCATTTTCTTATTGTAGACCAGTATTTTTTAGCAGTTCAAACTTTTTTTATTAGATAACATTTCAGCCCACAGCAACTAGAGAAGACTATTGAAGAAAACCTGTGCCATTTTGGATTCTATCCTAGAGCATCACTGGCTTTGGGACAGGATGAGGCCATTTTCATTCTTAGCAAAAAGGATTCTTCTTGTAGAAGCACAAGTGGAACATAGTAAATTACTTTTGAGGATAGCATTAGGAAATTATATTCTTTCAAAGTGGCAAGGTCAGTAAATGATCTGGGAGATTTTTCATTGCTTCAATTTCATATTCTACCATCAGCCAACTTCAAAGGCAGATTTAGAAAAACTACCTACACAGAAAGGATTTGTCCATATGCTTCAGGCCCATTGCTTAGAACTCTTAGAAATTCTTTGTTGGAACCCCTATTTCAGGTAATCCTTGGTGTCTTGATATGTTTCATCTTCAATATCTTATACTGAACAAATGCCCTCTCCAAAAACTCACATACAATGGCTAAACTTGAATTATTAGCATGCAAAAAATATTGCAGTTAGCTAACGTATAAGTTTATCTAGGGCAGTAGTTCTCAACTTGTGGGTTGGGACCCCATTTGGGGTCAAACGACCATTTCACGGGGGTCGCCAAACAACGCAGTCCACCATGTTTTCCCCTTTTCCTTAGCTGTGCTACTCCCTTTTATTCTATTGGCTTTTGAAAGCCAATAGAATAGACTCTCTTGAATAGAGTCTAATTCGATTGGCTTTCAAAAGCCAATAGGAATTGTCCAGGCTGTCTCTGCCCTGCTGAGCCTGCCAAAAGTCCCATTCTGCAAACGGTGCTGCACCAGTTAAGTAGTTTTCGACTTATGACTGGTTGAGAAATCCTCGACTTACGACCGGTCGGGGGTCGGGGCATTAAAAAGGTTGAGAACCACTGATCTAGGGTAGTGATATTTTACTGCTACATTCGCATTTATTTTGTTCTTTTTATCATACCCTGCTTTATATTTTGTTTGAGTGTAAGATAGTAAACAACATTTGATTTAAGCCCATTGTTTTCTTTTCCAGGTCAATCAGAATCATTCTAATTAGACTTGCTGTAAATGTGACAAATAAGGAAATCATAGTTGATACATACGCTGGGCAGTACTGACAAACATAGAAGTAGCTGTACTCCGATGAAGGACAATAGGCAGCAGCACAACCAACACGGTAACTTTTGTACCAAACTATCTGTAGATACAAAAATATGCACACAGGTTAACATGCTAGTAGCATAATATTGATAATAAACATTCAGATTGTATAGGGGCATGTAAAGAAAATTGCATAAGGGATGTAAGAAAATGTACTATATATAATTGTCTGCTCCTAGCCAGTGAAGTGGGATACCACAATAACAATGAGTATACAATGAACATTTCCAATCATTTTCTTTCTCTGAATTAAAAAGTGTGTTCATTTCTATAGTTTGCAGAAGCAAATAAATATTAGAACAAATGAGGCTTCATCCTCTGTGCTTTAAATGTATGTATTTAAAATGTAAAATATGAAAATGCTCCATCCTGAACTTTATAAACCATCTCTTTCTAAAGTGCCCCATCACATCCAAAGCAAGCCGAGTAACTTGCTATTACCAGCAAGTTAGTTCTTCCTTCCTAGCTGCATGAAAGCCAAGATCTGAGGCACTAAATGCGAATAACAAATAACACATTTAGTATGTTTGCAATCCTATATCAGAATTCAAAAAACAAAAAAGTACAACACTTTAACCTAGTCTAGTTTTACCTTTCCTTAACATGCATTGGGACTATGGTTCTTAGCCCAGATGCTCATGTTTATGGAATTAGTTAGTGATTGTAAGGACACAGTTGCTTGGTTTTCATGGCCACAGCACCACACATATTGTGCTATTATCTTTTTGTGGGGTGTTTTCTCAATTTTCCAGTCTACCTTCAAGTCATGGCTTTCCTGTGCAGCAGCCAGGCCTGGCTTAGCTCAGTGATTCAGGATCAGTCAAGGACTTGAACTTGATTCAATGGAGTCTACTTTTTTATCTTATTCATTTTTGTGGGTTTATATCTGTGAACATAGAAATGGCAAAGATATGAAAAAGTACTACCTGACTGAAATGGCCAGTAACAGCATTTGGTGGGTCTGCTCCAATGCCATACTTGAAATTTTTGTTTTCATCATGCCAACCGTGAATAATTTCAGTCCATTTTATAGGAACAGATGACATATATATATATATATATATATATATATATATATATATATATATATATATATATATATATATATATATATATTCACCACATTTTATTTCTCCTAAAAATGGGGAGGGTTGAAAAAAAGCAACAGCAAAAAAAAACAGAGGTGAATACATGTTTTGAAAGAAGCGAAGGACAGCAAAAAGGAGATAACTGAGCATTTCTTATCTCTCCAGAAGCACTGACGCATTCATCTTGTGTGGGATTAATTGCACTAATATACCCATAGAAATGCTTTCACAAAGGCCTTGAGATAACAAACGGACTGCTCCAGACACAGAATACATTCATCAGCCATTTGGACAGGCTCTGATGAGAACACCTGTGTAGCCTTGCATCTGGAGAGTGTCTGTTATGCAATACCTTGTAATCACCCCTATACACGTCTTTTGATTATGCTGTGTGATGTAAAAACTATAGTAACAATAAAAGAGGGTGTTGGAGTCAGCTCTGGGCTCCCATCCCGAGATACCTGTGTGCGTGTCTCATTCTCCATGGGAGACCACCACATCTGGTGACCCCGACGTGATCCACTGAGGGATACGTCCCTGCCGACCCTTTACTTATCGCCTGGAATAGGCTTGGTGCACCCGACGAAGTTGCTGGCAACTGACTCCTCTTCGTAAGTATGGGGGGTGGAATGTCTCATGCTCAAAAGCAGCATGTGGAAGAGATGAGGCTACTTGGCAGGAAAAAATATCTTACTGATCAGGAACAGAAATTAACCCGTCACCTTTCTAAATCTGAGGCTGTTAAATTGCTTGCTTACATATGGGCTAACTGCTCATCCTATCCGGAGTCTGGATCTTTAAAAGTAGATACATGGAGGAAAATCGGCGCCATCCTCCATCAGTCTCCGAGAGCCCCAGCAGAGATTTTGTGCCTTTGGAAAATTGCCTATACCCTGATTCAAACCCATGCTGACTCGCCTCATCAGCCTTTATTAGACCCTCCACCGTACAAAAGTCCGTCTGTTATGTTGGCCACTCCCTTGCCCCCCTGGAGCTGGTTTTAACCCTCCTTCTGCCCCTGCAAATTCTATGGATCCTGATAAACAACAAACAGCCTCTCCTGTTCCTGCCACGTTGCCGCCTGTCTCCCGGCCCAGAATCATCCGTGGTGCTTTTCAAAAGGTTTTGAACAATGGTGATTTAAGTGTTTCGGAACTATCCGAGACAGAGTTGTTCCCTGTTACTTACCAACAGACTGCAGCAGGCATAGTGGTTGATTGGGAAGCACTTCTCCTGGCTATGATCCGAGAATTGAAAAAGGCTACAAAAGATTATGGCATAACCAGTCCCTATACTAGAGGACTGATACATTCAATTGCTAGTGCATATCGAATGTTGCCTCAAGATTGGAAAGATCTGTTCCACATGCTTCTTAACGGAACGCAATACGTAGTTTTTGAATCTGAATATAAAAGAGAGGCACAAAACAGAGCTAATCACCCAGGTTCACAATGGACAGCAGAACAACTCGTCGGAGAAGGCAATTTTGCTACCCTTAATGCTCAGGCTCAAACTTTTACTCCCTTTGCATTTCCAATCATTAATAGTTGTGTTCTTTCTGCCATGGCTCGTGTTGATGAGTCTGGCACCCCGATTCAATCTTTTTCTGCCATTCGCCAAACTGCAACTGAATCCTATGCAGACTTTGTGAATCGCCTGCAAGTTGCCATTGAGCATCAAATTTCAAACAGAGATGCAGCAAATGAAATCCTCATAAAATTGGCTTATGAACATGCAAATGCAGACTGCCAGTCCATTCTTAAACCACTTGTTTCCAGTCCCACGGCCACCCTAGCGGACTTTCTTAAAGCCTGCCGCATTGTGGGAACCAATGCTTTTCAAATGGACACTCATGCAGCTGCAATCCAAAAGGGGAATCAACCCCAAGGCACTTGCTTCAATTGCGGAAAACCTGGTCATTTTAAAAAGCAATGCAGAGCCCCAGGAGGTGGCGCGGCTCGACCCGCTGCCATCCCCGGAGCCAAGCCCAAAACTGTGTGCCCAAAATGTAAAAAGGGTTTTCATTGGGCCAATCAGTGCCGTTCTTCTCAGTCCAATCGGGGAAACTAACAGAGGGGTCTGCAGCTAACCCCTCTCCAAAGGCTGCATCCTTTTCAGACTTCACTCCTGCTTCGCAATATTTTCCTGGCATTGATTTAAAATTGGCTTATGATCTTTCTGTTACTTTTCCTAACCTACTCACGGTTGCTGAAACCCTTTATTCTGGACCCTTGCCTCCGGAAACGGAGGCAATAATCCTTCCCACACCTGTTGCTCGGGAACAAGGAGTGTTTGTGCTTCCAGGTATGATAGATCCCATGTATAGAGACACCCTAAAAGTCCAATTTTATACCAATCTCCTTGTCACAATGAACTAGGGGGATACGGTGGCACGCTTGGTTTTATTACCACGTGCAGCATCACCCATTCCAGAGGCTGCATATGCACCTCACTCTGGGAATTCTTCCTCTGATTTATTGGCACTAACAAAGCAAATTACTCCCCAAAAACTGGTGATGCCTTTTTTAATCAATGGCATTCTCTTCTCTGGTCTTGTAGACTCTGGTGCGGATGTCTCAGTCATAAGAACAGCTGAATGGCCCTCTAACTGGCCCCTCGACTCCTCACCGGCAGTCAGGGGAGTGGGAGGACTTCAACAAGCAAGCTCCAGTAAAAATTGGCTTACTGCACAACGAATCACAAAAGGCATTTCTGCTAAATTTAAACCTGTCGTCCTCGCTCTTCACACAAATTTATGGGGCAGAGACTTACTCTCTCAATTTAATGCAAAGTTAACTCTGGAAGACTAATAATGCCTCCTTCACCCATGAAGCTTACGCTCCTTTCTGACACCCCCGTGTGAGTGGACCAATGGCCACTCACTTTAGAAAAACAGGAAGCATTGCAGAAACTGGTATATCAGCAAATACAATCTGGCCATTTGGAACCAACTACCAGTCCTTATAACACCCCAGTATTTGTAGTCAAGAAAAAATCAGGCAACTGGAGAATTATTCATGATTTACGCCTCATTAACATAATAATTAAACCCATGGGTCCGCTATGATCCCCAAAGACTATGATTTGGCAATTATTGATTTAAAAGACTGTTTTTTTACCATTCCTTTACACCCTTTTCTTTGCCTCAACGAACATGTCCCGACCTACTCCTCGCTATCAATGGACTGTTCTTCCCCAAGGCATGCTTAACAGCCCCACCATATGTCAAGCTTTTGTGGACGCTGCCTTGTTGCCTTTTAGCAAATCCTATCCTAACTTTTTGCTTTATCACTATATGGATGACATTCTCCTAGCTGCCCTGGGTCCTCCTGGTACAGTACAAACTGTCCTTCCCCAACTCATTCAGCTTTTAGCTTCTTATGGCTTTATTGTCACCCTGGAAAAAGTTCAGACCCAATCTCCCTTTTTATATCTGGAACACAAAGTCCTAGCCTCTCATTCTGTTCCGGTGCTCCCTGCCATCCACCTTCCTTCTCCTCTCACTTTAGTTCCTTTACAACAAATCTTGGGCACCATAAATTTTGTGCGTCCATTTCTTGCACTCACCACTGCCCAATTGGCACCCTTGTTTTTGGCTTTACGAGGCCACACTTCCCCCTCCTCTGTTGTTGTTCTTAACCCCACTCAAAAACATGTTTTTGCCTTAATTAATAGTGCCCTCTCCACCCGCTGGGTGGACCGGGCCATTCCCAATGAGCCTTTGTCTTTGGCCATATTTAATACTCCCTCTATTCCTACAGCTGCCCTTCTCCAATATCAAAAGGGGGGCGTCTCCATTGTTGAATGGATTCACCTCCCCAATACCCCTCGCAAATCTATCAATCCACTGCCATATATGTTTGCTCTTTTAATTACAAAGGGCCGTTTTCGAGCAAAAGGTTTAATTGGATTTGATATTGTTTTTTTATATGTCCCCATGTCTCTTACTATATGGGAACCTTTATTTGCCTCTTCAGATGTATTGCAACTTTCTCTTGCTGACTGGGCAGGATCTGTTTCCTGTCATATTCCCTCTGACCCTCGCTTCCAACTCCTTAATAATGTTTCAATTTCTCTGCATTCTCCCATTTCCTCCTCTCCCATTCCTAACGCTGTCACCCTGTATGTTGATGGCAGCAAGACTTATGGTTAATGTGTATGGAAGGAGGGTGAACAATGGCACACAAAAATTACTCCTCCTCAAACTTCTGCTCAGCGTGCTGAACTTGCCGCTACAATTTTGGCCTTACAAACTTTTTCTTCTGAACCTTTTAATCTTATTTTAGATAGTCTTTATGTATATAAAGTTCTCACTTCTTTATCTGATTCATATGTGTCACCCTCATTGGATGACTCTCTCCTCAGTCTATTTCTCACACTCCAATCCCTTCTTCATTCCCACTCTACTTGTTTTTTTCCTGCTCATATTAGAAGTCACCAACCTTTCCCTGGTATTATCTCCGAAGGCAATGCCAAGGCGGATGCTGCCGCTTCGGCCGCCTCCACTCACCAGGACGTCTCTGTCCTTGTTTTATCTCCCATAACCCCATGGGACAGCCATTCATATTTTCATCAAAATAAGAAGGCTTTAATGAAACAATTTTCTTAAACAGCTACGGAGGCTGCGGCTATCATACAACAATGTCCCACCTGCAGCCTCCAAGCACACTCTGTTCCTCAAGGGGTCAACCCAAGAGGGACGTAGAGCTGTCAACTTTGGCAAATGGATGTTATGCAATATTTGCCATTTGCCCCCTGGAAATATTTGCATGTTTCCATTGACACCTATTCAGGTTTTATTATGGCCACCCCCAAAGGAGTGAGTCTGCTAAACATGTTATTAATCATTGTATTCGTACCTTTTCTACCCTGGGCAATCCAAAAGAAATTAAAACTGACAACGCTCCTGCTTATACCAGCACCTCCTTTGCGCAGTTTTGCTCTCGCTGGTCTATTGTTCATAAATTTGGCATTCCATATAACTCCACTGGTCAAGCGATCGTGGAATGAGCCAATCAGACCGTAAAAAGGGCTCTAGAAATTCATGCAAAAAAGAAAGGGGAAAATACCCCCGGCTTGCCTGGGATACAAAATACTCTTAATCTTGTACTTTTTACCTTAAACTTTTTGAATGTTTCTGGCACCCCTGGCTCAACTGCTGCAAGCAGGCATTTTTCTGCTTCTCCCACAGATTCTTCACGCCCCCAAGTATACTATCGACATTTGCCTGATCCCACCTGGAAAGGGCCTGCCTCCCTCATTACCTGGGGTCGAGGCTACGCTGCAATAGACGACCATGGCGAGATCATTTGGACTCCAGCTCGTTGAGTTCGTCCTTATATGGCTCAACGTACACCACCTCAGCCAGGCATATGAGGATCAGGGACTGTGGGCTTTTAATGCTTTTGTACGGGATGCCAGGCGCACTGCTCTTACACTTAACGTCACGAACTGTTGGATTTGCATGCAAATTCCTGGTGACAGTCGTGGTGGCCTTATTTTCCATGCCATTCCATTCAATGAAACAGGATGGAAGCAGCTGTGGAGCATAACTACAGAGACATTGAATATGACATATGCTGTGGGCGCTCGTATAATGGAACCTGCCAGATTTTGTTTTTATAGCACAGGACTATTCCGTACTGCCATTTATTTGGGAACTTATAGTAATTGTCAACAAGTTATTATATGGAATTCAGCAAAGAAATGCAAATCCATCAAAAGCAACCTTACTAAGATAAATGACACTTATGGAAGCAATCAATGGACAAACGTCAGTACCTACATGGCTTGCCTTGACATGGAATCCATAATAACATTTGCTAATGAGTCTCACCAGGGTTATTATGAATTACCCGATATGTGGCTATTATGTGGCCATAGAGCCTATCGTCAGGTGCCTAAGGATTGGAAAGGCACCTGTACACTGGGCCTTTTGACCCCTGCTGTATATGCTTTGCCTCATCTCCCTGATGGACGCCTGTGGAACAAACGTGATACTGGCTCCTCGGATCCACCCCTAACATTGGGTGGTAGTTTAGAGACTCAAATCAGCAGAGGAATACTACCCAATCTAGGAGTTGCCATGAACTATAGGGACCTTCATTTGCTTAACAATTGGACTGCTCATATGTTTAATGAAACAATCAACAGCATTAAAATGATTAATCAAGATATGGGGGAATTAAGGGAAGTAGTTTTGCAAAATCGGTATGCTTTAGATATTATTTTAGCAGCAAAAGGTGGTGTATGTGCCTTAATTCATTCTCATTGTTGTATGTATATACATGATTTTCAACCTAATATTTCTGCTACAGCCAGGAAAATGGAAATTATGCTCCAAAATAATCCCTTACACAGCGATGGATCAGGCACCGTGGATATTTGGGGTGTCCTTTGGTCCTGGCTACCGGATGGATCCTGGCTATGATCTTTGATTTCTATTATAGTAACCATTTTGATATTAATTGTATTGCTATGTTGTTGCATTCAATGTATTCCCTCCCTCCTGCAAATGTGCAAAAATGTTATGCCCTCCACTAGGAAGGACGCCTTAATTAGTGAATCAAGATCCCTTCTGGAACTGGAAGTGAGTAACATTAAAAAAAACACAAAAGCAGGAGATGTGGGATTAATTGCACAAATATACCCATAGAAATGCTCCCACAAAGGCCTTGAGATAACAAATGGACTGCTCCAGACACAGAATAAATTCATCAGCCATTTGGACAGGCTCTGATAAGAACACCTGCGTAGCCTTGCATCTGGAGAGTGTCTGTTATGCGATACATTGTAACCACCCCTATATACGTCTTTTGATTACGCTGTGTGATGTAAAAACTATAGTAACAATAAAAGAGGGTGTTGGAGTCAGCTCTGGGCTCCCATCCCGAGATACCTGCGTGCGTGTCTCATTCTCCATGGGAGACCACCACAGTCTTGCTAAACTATTGGCAAGGAAATGAACATTTTGCCCCCAGATTTTTTTTTCTGTAGTGCTTCTCCAGAACCTTTAATTGTGCAAGTTGATAATCATTTGTTTTCTGATGAACATCAAATAATATAGTTTATTTGGGAGGAAATTATATGTTAATACATAGTGTGGTATTGAGATTAGGGAGATTAAAGTTTAATTCTCCACTTGACCATGGAAATCTCTGAACATCTTTGGGCTCAGCATCTACCATCAGAAACAGCTGTGGTGAGGATAATATCTTTAACATCATGGGGGGAAGGTGGACTATAAATGTAGTAATATATAATATTTAAAAAATGAAAGAAATCACTGTTCAAATACTATTTCTCCTGCAAACTCACGGGGGGGGGAGAGGAAGGAAAATTAAGAAAATTATTACCTTCTCAATTCTTCTACCCCCCAATTAGAAAAGAAAAAGGAAAAGAAGAAATAGGGGTGACATGATAGTAGTATTCCAGTATTTGAGAGGCTGCCACAAAGAAGGGGAGTAAAATTATTCTCCAAAGCACCAGAGGGCAGGACAAGAAACAATGGTTGGAAACTGATCAAAGAGAGAAGCAACCTGGAATTAAGGAGAAACTTAATGAGGACAATTAATCAGTGGAACAGCTTGCCTTCAGAAATCGTGGGCGCTCCATCACTGGAGATTTTTAAGAAGAGACTGGATAGTCACTTGTCTGAGATGGCATAGGTTCTCCTGCTTGAGCAGGGGGTTGGACTAAAAGACCTCCAAGGTCCCTTCCAACTCAATATTCTATTCTATTCTATTCTATTCTATTCTATTCTATTCTATTCTATTCTATTCTATTCTATTCTATTCTATTCATTATCTACATGGGAGTGGCAACTATAGAGTGATTCATAGGTATTACTCTTGCTGCTAATATTGACAAATAAGATTGATTGTAAGTGGTATTTAATGTGAAATATACTATTAATCCTCTAACCAGCTATAGCTATACTATGCTTTTAGATTGACTTACCAAGAACTCTTGAATCGCGTGGACTGTGCGTCTCAACACATCTGTATGCCCAACGTTCTGCATTAGCAGCAGCATCAGGATACCATTCCTGAATAGAATGGAAATCAACAGCAACAATCAATCAATGAAAGAGGCATAATTTAAAATTGCAGAAAATATTTGATCCTTTTTTACTACCTTTTGGCTTCCTTCAACTCTTGTAGTTAAGAACTCAGAAGTTACAGCAATATTCACTAAAACATTCTTTGAATAGTTGGAGTGGGATTGTATGGCTTCCTCCCCACCCTTTTTGACACCAAGTGCAAGCAACCTATGTTGCACCCTGATGAATGCCATTAATGTTTCCTTCTGACCAGCAGTGTTAAAATTCTATAATAATAATAATAATAATAATAATAATAATAATAATAATAATAATAATAATAGTAAAGTTGGAAGGGACCTTGGAGGTCATCTAGTCCAACCCCCTGCTCGGGCAGGAAACCCTACACCATTTCGGACAAATGCCTGTCCAGTCTCTTCTTAAAAACTTCCAGTGTTGGAGCATTTACTGCTTCTGGAGGCAAGCTGTTCCACTGATTAATTGTTCTCACTGTCAGGAAGTTTCTCCTTAGTTCTAGGTTGCTTCTCTCCTTGATTAGTTTCCACCCGTTGCTTCTTGTCCTGCCTTCAGTGCTTTGGAAAATAGCTTAATTCCCTCTTCTTTATGGCAGCCCCTGAGATATTGGAATACTGCTATCATGTCCCCCTTGTCCTTCTCTTCGTTAAACTAGACATACCCAATTCTCGCAACCGTTCCTTATATGTTTTAGCCTCCAGTCCCCTAATCATCTTTGTTGCTCTTCTCTGTACTCTTTCTAGAGTCTCAACATCTTTTTTACATCGTGGTGACCAAAACTGGATGCAGTATTCCAAGTATGGCCTTACCAAGGCATTAAAGACTGGTATTAATACTTCACGTGATCTTGATTCTATCCCTCTGTTAATGCAGCCTAGCACTGTGTTGGCCTTTTTGGCAGCTGCAGCACACTGCTGGCTCATATTTAAGTGATTGTCTACTAGGACTCCGAGGTCCCTCTCACAGTTACTACTATTGAGATGGTGCCACCTATGCTGTACTTGTGCATTTGGTTTTTCTTGCCTAAATGTAGAACCTTGCTTTTTTTCACCATTGAATTTCATTTTGTTAGTTAGTGCCCAGTGTTCAAGTCTGTCCAGATCCTTCTGTATCTGAAGCCTGTCTTCTGGAGTGTTGGCTATTCCTGCCAGCTTGGTGTCGTCTGCAAATTTGATGAGTTCCCCATCTATCCCTTCATCCAAGTCATTGATGAAGATGTTGAAGAGTACTGGATTAAGATGGAGTTCTCTAATGAGTGTATGTTGAATGCTCTTGCATGCAGAAGCCAAAGAAAAAAATGGCATTTTCCAATCCAAGAAAAAATAAGGTTAAGAGATGATAATTATGGTTGGAACCTTTCAACCATTATTATTGTAGCTTGCTTATTTATATTTATATTTCAAATATATATAGCTGTCTATCTCACAAAACTCTAGTGGTGTGCATAAATCATTACATTTGGGCTTTTTTTTCTGTTTCCTGATAATACTGCCATGTGAATCAAAGATCTACCTGGGCCATTTCCTTTGCCAATATGCATTGTTATTTTAATGGATAAAATACTTTGTAAAACTGGTTTTACTTTTGAAAAAAGCTAATCAAGTTTTTTCATAAAATAAAAAAAAAATCAGAGTGTACAAAACAGTACAGAAAACTGGTATTATCCTTTTCAAGAACAGACTGGACAGCCATTTTGTCTGGAATGGTATATAGGATCTCCTACCATGGGCAGGCGGTTGGACCAGAGACCACCAAGATCCCTTCCAACCCTATTATTTTATGTTTGATGGCAATTGAAACCACAGTGCTTGGATGTAACTGGCAGTATTTTAACTGATTTTCATATAAAAGAAGGAAAATCCAGATGTCATAGGTATTGTACTATGCTTGTTGTTGTTAATTGCGAAGTCGTGTCCGTCCCATCATCACCCCATGGACAACATTCCTCCAAGCCTTCCTGTCCTCTATCATCTTCTGGAGTCCATTTAAGTTCACACCTACTGCTTCAGTGATTCCATATAGCCACCTCATTCTCTGTTGTCTCCTTCTTATGTTGCCTTCAATCTTTCCCAGCATTAGGCCCTTCTCCAGTGAGTCCTATGCTATGTAGTTACAATTATATATGTATGTATGTATGCAGTGTAGGTACAATTACTAGAGCACATGCTATTGATTTCCATGGGATTTATATCAAACTAAAGGACCTTGAGACTGCAATTTATGTGAAATGTTCAACTCTGCAAGTCTAGCCTTTGCTGTGATTACGGCAATTAAAGATACAATAGCCAATATTGGAAAAGATATAAAAAATATAGTTATGGGGACATATTGCTGAAGACCCTCTTAATTTCCTCTCAATTTCCTACTTTGATTATATATTTTCATGATCTTTTTTTTCATTGTATATTTCTCTGAGTGATATTATAACTGACAGATTCAAATATAAATACAGATGCACCTAAATGCATATGGGCCAAAATGAGAATCACTCAATCAATAAATAGTAGGTATGTTCTCTTATCCTATTTGGTAAATCACATAATTTTTACACTAGTAAGACAATTATACTTCCAAACTCTCTGACAAATACAATTACATTTAGTTTACCATTTTTAGCATGTTGCTAGCAGTTGGATTCACAGATCTCCTTAAAGAATTGTGCAAATCAACAATCTTGTTTTGTATTTCTGGTTTCCTGGGTGACTCAGAATCAAAATCAACCTTAAGATAGCAAGCAAAATAAAATAAAAACAATTAAAATTGTATGACTTTAAACAGAACAAGCAACTAGTGGTCTCAGGACTCAGTGAATGACTTTGCCTTATCTCCTTCTATCACGATTCTACTCCATGCAACTTTCTTCTGATCCCCAGCTATCAAACAGTGGCCCCATTTGTCTTTGTATTTGAAAAGAGATGAAGAAATGACAGAACCATTAAAGGAACTCTTTAATGTTATCTTGTCTGGAGCAGAGTTACCTCCATCTTGGAGAACGGCCTTTATATCATTGATTCCAAAGGAAGACCAGGATCTGTCCCAACCCAGAAATTACAGGCCTATATCTCTTTTAAATACAGATTATAAGATTTTTGCAAAGATATTGGCAAATAGATTAATGCAGGTTTTGAAACAACTGATTCATACTGACCAATCTGGATTTATAATGGGAAGATATATGAAAAATAATGTAAGACAAATTGTCAATTTAATAGAGTATTTGGATAAGAACAACCAAATCCCTGCTGCTTTAAAATTTATAGATGTGAGAAAGCTTTTGATCAATTAGATTGGAAATTTTTATTGAAAGTTGTAGAGGAAATGAATTTTGGAGATAAATTTTTGTGTGCTCTCAAGGCCATATATCAGCAACAATCGGCACAAATTATAATTAATTGGGGACTAACAGACGTATTTGAAATAGGAAAAGGTACAAGACAGGGTTGTCCTTTATCCCCCTTGTTATTTGTATTAACAATGGAGATCTTACTTATTAAAATTCGAGATTCATCTAGATTAAAAGGAATAAAAATAAGTAAGATTGATTATAGGCTGAGAGCTTTTGCTGATGATTTGGTTGTGACGTTATCCCATCCTACAGATTTGGTCAAAGATTTGGTTGAAATTTTAGCAGGTGTCTGGTTTTAAGGTGAATAAGAATAAAACTAAAATATTATTGAAAAATATGTCTGTGAAGGGGAAAAATTTTATAGCTGAAGCAACAGGTTATGAAGTAGTTAATAAGGTTAAGTGTCTAGGACACAGGTCGGCAACCTGCGGCTCCGGAGCCGCATGCGGCTCTTTGAGCCTTCCCCTGTGGCTCCCAGCCTCCTCTGCCTTTGCAGAGAGAGACAGAGACAGAGAGAGGCAATTGCACTTCCCTGCTTCTCTGTGTGTGTGTGTGTGTTTTGTGTGTGTGTTGTGTGTGTGTGTGTGTGTGTGTGTGTGTGTGTGTAAAAGAGTGTGTGTGTGTGTAAAAGAGAGTGCACTCACAGTGTTCTCCGAGGAGCTGAAAAGCTTTCTGGGCGGAGCTCCTCCCTTTGCTGCGTCTCTGAAGGAAGCAGGAAGCAGGAAGGGCAGGAGAGAGAGCTAGCTAGCCCAGCTAGGTTGACTCAGGAATTCTGGGAGTTGAAGTCCATGAGTCATAAAAGAGACGAGGTTGCCTACCCGGAGGTTGTTGGACAACAGCTTGAAGCTTGCCAGGTGAGCAGCAGATAGGAGGGGGGGGAAGAAAGAGAGAGAGAGGGAGAGAGAGAGAGGGAGAGAGAGAGTGGGGGAAGAGGAGTGGCAGACCAAGGGCAGATAGAGAGGGAGGGAGGGAGAGAGACAGAGAGAGAGAGACCCTTTTGAAATCTAAAATGAAGATAACACTGCATATATCCTTTTTTTACCTGTGTGTGTATGTAATTTTATTCTCTTAAAGCATTCTCTTGGTGATCATTGTTTTAATAATATGGATATTCCCAAGAGTCAATTTTTACTTTTATTTTTAATGTGTATATGTGTGTGTGTGTGTGTGTGTGTGTGTGTGTGTGTATACACATACACACACACACACATACACATACACACACCTATAATAAAGGTAAAAAAGGATATATGCAGTGTTATCTTCATTTTAGATATCAAAAGGGTTTTGCGGCTCCCAGTGTTTTGTTTTTGGTGGGAAACGGGTCCAAGTGGCTCTTTGAGTGTTTTGGGTTGCCTACCCCTGGTCTAGGAGTATATATTACAATATCTAATGGAAAATTGTATAAGAATAATTATGAACGCTCATGGGTTAAAGTTCAAAAAGATTTAAATGATTGGCAAAAACTGCAACTATCATTACTGGGGAGAATTTCAGTAGTAAAGATGAATGTTCTACCAAAGTTTCTTTTTTTGTTTCAGATGATACCTATTTTAAAAAAGGATGCTAATTTGGATGAATGGCAGAAGGGTATCAATAAATTTATTTGGGGTGGGAAGAAATCAAGGGTAAAGTTTAAGATTTTACAAGATGCTCGAGAAAGAGGTGGACTTAAAGCACCTAATTTGAAATTATATTATGATGCGGCCACTTTAACTTTAGTAAGTGACTGGCTTAATTTAACAAATAAAAATATTCTTGCTCTTGAATGTTGGGATTTATTATATGGTTGGCATGCATATTTAATTTTTGATAAGAAAGTAGATTGGGTTTTTAAGTCACATATTTTAAGAAATGCTTTACTTCGAGTATGGAAGAAGTATTATTGTAAATTAAACTATAAAATACCTATTTGGGGGATTCTTGGACAAGCAATTCAGGGGGTTTCTAAGGGGGTGAATTTTGATAATATTTTGTATAAACAGTTACTTATTTGGTCGGGTACTGATTGGCAATTAAAGTCTTCAGATGTGCTAAGGCAAGAAAATATTTTACAATCATGGTTTCAATATTTGCAAATAGTGGAGAGATGGACTTTAGATAAGAAAATGGGAATTACTTTAGTAGATGAAAATTTGGTAATTCAGATTAAGGACCAGAAACATGCCCACATTAAAAGAATTTATAATGAGTTAATAAAATTGGATTTGGAATCAGAGTTGGTAAAAGATTGTATGATTAAATGGGCCCAGAACATTCAGGAACCGATTTCATTGGACTTATGGGAGGTAATTTGGATTAGAAATGTTAAATTTACGCAGGCTCAAAATTTGAGAGAAAATTTTTATAAAATGTTTTATAGATGGCATCTGGATCCTAAAAAGTTGTCTTGTATGTACCCGAACCTGCAACCTAAATGTTGGAGATGTGGTTGCTTGGATGCAACCTATTTTCATGTTTGGTGGACTTGTAAAAATATTAAAGCCTTCTGGATTATGATTTTGTGGAACATTCAAAAGGTTTTTAAAAGGAAGATTAAGTTTACTCCCCAGGTATTTCTTTTGGGTATTTTTGTGGATTTTGATGTTAAAGAAACTATTTTAATGTTGAATTTAATAACAGCAGCAAGATTATTGGTGGGTCAATATTGGAAGAAGGATACTCTGCCTTCTTTAGAAGAATGGGTATTTAAGGTTTCTAATTTAGCAGAAATGGCCAAAATTTCTGCTTATTTAAAGGACCATTCACAAGAGAAATATTTTAATGTATGGAGAAGATGGATAGAATATGTTCAGAAGAAGTATGGAACTACAAAGTTTCATTTATTTTATGAGTAATGAATTTGTTTATAAACTTATGATGTTAAAGTTTGAAAAGAGTTAAGGGTTAGTATGATTTTGGTTATTGTATAATTAGTAAACTTAAATAGATTATGTTTAGTATATTTGTATAACCCTGTACTTAGCTCTGGGAAGTCAGGGGGGAGGGGGAGGGGGTGGGGGAGGGGGGTGGGGGAAGGATAGGTTGAAATTTTAGTAATTCAGATAAGTAGAAATAGTTTTTATTGTATATAATATTGAGGTTTCAATTTGGAGAGAGGAATTGCTCGGGCATTTCCCCCGGACCGCATCCGGAGTGAGAGGATAGAAGAAGGTGAGAAGTAAGTAGGAAGGTGGAGGAGAGGGGGTGAGGGAGAAAGAGAAAGAAGAGGGAAAGAGGCAAGTTGGTTAGAGGGTGGATGCGGTTTGGGGGGAAATGGATGAGCAATACCGAAGCTGGTGTGTATTAATTTGTTTTATTTTTTATCTGAAGTATTTTTAAAATTGTATTGTATTGCAAAATTGAAAATAAAATTTTTTTACAAAAGAAAGAAAGAAAAGAGACTAGCCATAAGATAGGAAAAGGGGATCACAGAACCAAGTTAAAATAAATTAATCATTTCCCCCTAATCTATTCTTCAAAGGAATACTGCAATGGTATTTACGGATTTATATCAAGAACTTATATGGATGTCTATATAATGATCCTAAGTGGCTCACAACAGGAATAAAAAGAGAGCCACCCTACCCACCAAGTGTCAGACCAAGCAGCCTCATTGAACCCCCATCCTAGCCCAACACTTGGGGAGGGGGACAAAACCAGGTCTTCACTGCCCCCCGGAAGGCTTAAAAGGATAGGGATCCCTAAAATCTCAGTTGTGTGTGTGTGTGGGGGGCTATTCCAGCAGATTGGGCTTGAGTTCTATTATAGACCACAGGAATTAAAATTATTCTTTTCATTAAATCTGTCAGCTTTAATTATATTTGACTGCCCTGTTCAGCATGATGGTGTTTTGCTTTGTGTGTTCAGCTCTGTAATATATTTATGAATTAAAATGAACAGTTAGACTGACCAAGCTTCACCAACCAGACCAAGAAACCATAGTAATGAATCTAATTCCATTTGATTACAAGGTTGATGTCAAAGCTGCTAACATTGGATGTTCTTGCTCTGACAAAATATGCAGAGCTGTGTGGTATTTTTAGAGTTAACTCAGAAGACGCTGGGAGGGGAGAAGGAAGAATGTATGAGTTGCAAATGGAAGAGAACCTTTGCCCTTCAAACTAATTGGAGAACGTGAATCATGACAGCAAAATAAGGGAGGGAAAATGCTAGCAAAAATAACTGCTCGGGGGGGGGGGGGGTGGAGATTTCAGATCTTAGCATCCTCTCTTCATGCCATGCCGACATTTTGTCACATGAATAAAAAAGACTTTTTAGGATAAACAATGCCTGGAAGTTCTTTGAAGTGTTTCATTAGTCGGAACCATGACAGTTACAGTGTTACAGCAAAAGTCTTGAAAGTCTGAAAGCATTTTTCCCAGCCTTCTTCTTACTGAAAGCTAAGAATAGTCTTGTCTGAGAAGCTTTCTCAAATTAATTTCTGCACTAGATTCAGATTTAACTGACTGTTGTCTCAGCTACATCTCTTCCTCTTGTTCCTCAAGGTTATTTCTACCGCTCATGACACATATGGAACAATCCAACACATATTAGGCAATTTAATGAATGATTAATTGTAAGAGGAGAAAGTTATGTACTGTATATATTAAATCTGCTATACGTGATACAAAATTATTAAACTTACACTTCCAGAAGACTGTTGCAGCACTGCAGCAAGAATTGACAAGACAGTGAAGGCAATCATTTCTAAAAACAAAAGAACATTGAGACATATCAATGTTTTATCTCCTTAATGGGATTTGTCTCAACTTTCTGTAAATAGTTCAGATACCTCCTAGACACAAAACTTACTCTATGTATTTTCTCTTTTATTCCCTTGTACTCCAATAGGCATCCTATGTATCCATGGTTCATTCCATGGATATGTAAATCATCTATAAACCCACACTAGTTCCTTAAGTTTTTTCTTATTGATTTGCTGCAGTAAAAGATAACTTTCACCCCAGCCCTTTCCATAAAAGCCAATCAAAAAATCACACTGATCAAAGATTATTGGATCTAAAGTTCAAGATGTCTGAAGGATTCCAGGTTGGTAACAGCTCATTTAGAATATGTTGCTTCTCAATCTCTTGCCTTATATCAAGTATAATCAACTATATCAGCAGATGCAAAAGCTACACACTAACACATTTGGCAATAGTGATTGCTCCTGAGGCAATGCAATCAGAATTTGTTCCTGATTGCAAGAATTTGTCCTGGCAGCCTTTATCTCGAAAGCATGGAAACAGATTGGATTAACAGGATACTTAATTGACTTTTCAGCATCTCAGGTGTGCTAAGAAGTGGTGTGACACCATTGTATGTGGAGTTGGCTTTTCTGTGGCCCTTTTCCATGGCTGTAGCATCCAGTGAGAAACTACATAAAGCAGAAACTGAGATGAACTTTAAAACACAGAGCGGAATGGGCAGTGTATAAATTTAATAATACATTTTTTTAAAAATTAAAATTGTTTGGTTAGAAGGATAGCACTATGCATAAAATATTTGGGGGCACCAAACCAGCTATTTCCAGAGAATCTTAGAAATATTAGTTTACTAAGGGAAGATCCCAGGGATGCCTAAAAGGATCACTGGAAAAATAAAAAAAAAACCAGCAGTGTCAGATTTTTTTAAAAAAGAAAGCCATGCTATTTAAGCTAGTATAAAACCTAATGTATTATGGTAATAGATGTAACATATTCTCAAAAATAGAACAAAATAAAACAATTTCATAGAAGTTGCATAAATACTAATTGCTCTTCTCCCCCTGAAGTTATCCAAGCTTGTTTAATTACAAACAACGGATTTAAACAACCTGCAGTAAAATAATAAATCTTACCTATTGTTTTGAATAAATGTAAAGATAACTTCTTTGTTGCTTTCAGAAAATCGTGAAAGTCAGACAGACAGTACCAGGTTTATATACCTTCACTGCTTCCTGTAATTCAGAGTGAGCCTTGTAAGACAGAAGTTTGGATTTGTCTCAAGTTCTTTTTTTCTTCTTGGTTGTTAATCAATCCCTTAACGACTGATGTTGCAACAGACTAAAATTAGTTACTTAGAACCCATCACTGAAAATACGACTGTTACCTGCCTTCCACCTTGGTAACATGATCGTATTTTGAGTATGTGGCAACCAGCTTGAATTTATGTCCAGTCATTCTCAGTCACGTGACTATGATTTGCAACTTTTTTGCCTTTTTCCAGCAAAAGTGGCAAAAAATACACATTGCATATACTGAATTTGCTTAACGACTACATTAATAATAATAATAATAATAATAATAATAATAATAATAATAATAATAACAATAATAATAATAATGTTGGAAGGGACCTTGGAGGTCAGCTAGTCCAACCCCCTGCTCAGGCAGGAAACCCTATACCATTTCAGACAAATGGCTGTCCAGTCTCTTCTTAAAAACATCCAGTGTTGGAGCATTCACCACTTCTGGAGGCAGGTTGTTACACTGGTTAATTGTTCTAACTGTCAGGAAGTTTCTCCTTAGTTCTAGGCTGCTTCTCTCCTTCATTAGTTTCCATCCATTGCTTCTTGTCCTGCCTTCAGGTGCCTTGGAAAATAGCTTGACTCCCTCTTCTTTGTGGAGCCCCTGAGATGTTGCAATACTGCTATCATGTCCCCCCTTGTCCTTCTCTTCATTAAACTAGACATACCGAATTCCAGCAGCCGTTCCTTATATGCTTTAGCCTCCAGTCCCCTAATCATCTTTGTTGCTCTTCTCTGTACTCTTTCTAGAGTCTCAACATCTTTTTTACATCGTGGTGACCAAAACTGGATGCAGTATTCCAAGTATGGCGTCATCAAGGCATTGTAAAGTGGTATTAATACTTCACGTGATCTTGATTCTATCCCTCTGTTAATACAGCCAAGCACTGTGTTGGCTTCTTTGGCAGCTGCAGCACACTGCTGGCTCATATTTAAGTGATTGTCCACTAGGACTCCAAGGTCCCTCTCACAGTTACTACTATTGAGCAAGGTACCCCCTATACTATACTATACTATACTATATTTGGTTTTTCTTGCCTAAATGTAGAACCTTACTTTCTTCACTATTGAATTTCATTTTGTTAGATAGCGCCCAGCGCTCACTTCATCTTTGCAGGCTCAGACTTTTTGTGGACATTCTGACTTAGTTATTTGCCCCTCTTTCCACTTTCTATACTTGTCCTTTTTATCTTTCAATTTATCAGAGAGTTCTTTATGCAGCCATACTGATTTCTTTTGAGAGCTGTTATTTTTCCTCTTTGTTAGTATTGTGCTAGACTGGGCTTTTATTATCTCATTTTTCAAAATTTCCCAAGCTTCTTGAGTTGTTTTCCCCTTGAGGATTCTAATCCATGGAATCCTTCCCAAGCCCTCTCTAAGTTTATTGAAATTAGCTCTCTTGAAGTCCAAGACTTTAGTTTGACTGTGTTCTATTGCTTGTGCTTCCATGATGTTGAATTCCAATATTGCATGATCACTTCCTCCCAAGGTTCTTGTGGCTTCAACACCTTCTATCATTTCATCTCTGTTAGTGAGAATTAGATCCAAAATGGCTAATCCCCTAGTTCCCTTCTCTACTTTTTGGGAGACAAAATTGTTTGCTAGGTTTGCAAGGAATCTATTTGATCTTCCATTTGGTGCAGAGTTTGTCTCCCAGTTGATGTCAGGGTAGTTAAAGTCCCCCATTACTATTGTGATATGCTTCCTACATTCCTTAGTTAGCTGACTAGCAAAAAGTTCATCTATTTCCTCTGTTTGGTTGGGTGGCTGTAGTATACACCTATGGTAATGTAAATAATTTAAATCCCTCTAGCTGTGTGTTCCATTTGTGGGTTTCATCCCACCATGTTTCCGTAATGGCAACAATATCATATCTGCCCTCATTAACCTGAATTTCTAGTTCACCCTGTTTGCTGTTCATACTCTGTGCATTGGTATATAGACATTTGAGTGACCGTGTGTTTACTTTCAACGTAACCTGTGTGGTGCCTGAGTTCCCCTATTGTCTTACTACCTATTTGGTTAGTGCACTTTGTGTGACACTCGCTATTAGAAGCTTGATTTTGCTTGACAGCAAGGTAGATATTCTTCTCCGTACACACATCTATGTTACATGCACTGATAGCCCTATAGTTTTTAGATTGCCGGGACAGGGATGTTCTGTATCAATTAACTCACTGTCTCCGCTGTTTAGTTTAAATATTCCTCCAGAAAATCTGTGAATTTATAGCTGAATAACTCAGTCCCTTTCTTTGATGGATGCAAACCATCTCTTTTGTACATTTTTTCATTGGACCAGCTACAGATATCGTGACTAATATATCCAAACCCTTCCCCTTTACACCACTCCTTTAGCCACATATTGAATTGTGCTATACACTGGCCTTTTCCATTTTGCTCCTTATATACTGGTAAAACTTCTGACAAAGTAAGCTTACAGCCTGTTCTGCTAAGTTCCTGCCCCAAGCTCTGGAAATCATTCTGCACAGAGAGTACATCTTTTTGGGATAGATCGTTAGTACCAAGATGTACAATAGCCTCCACATCACAGTCCTTGCTGGCATTCTTGATTATTTTAGTAATACGCTTCTTTTCCCTACTGGCAGTAGCACAATGACATAAGAGCAAAATTTGGGGTCCATTGTGGTTGTTAAGCAAGGACTACTTATAATGTTATCACCCCTGCAGTTACATTTCAAGATAATGTAAAAATATTGAAAGTATATAAACTGTAGCTTTGTGATCATTCAAACTCTATACTCATATGCTAATAGTGTAGTATGGAGAATGATAACCTTGATTTACAAAAAAAAAGAAACCTACTGCAAAAGACAAACTAGAAACAAAAATTAAAATAAGCAAGAAAATGGTAACATAACACCTATCTGACCTTGACGAATATAAATCACCAGGACCCGACAGATTATATCCCAGAGTTCTGAAGGAGCTGGCAGATGTTATCTCAGAACCATTGCACCATATCTTTCAAAAATCCTGGATCAACCGGGGAGTACTTGAGGATTGGAAAAGGGCTAATGTGGTTCCCATCTCCAAGAAAGGGGAAACCCCCCCCCCAACCTAGGAAACTACAGACCAATCAGTCTAACATCAATATCTGGGAAGATCCTGGAAAAGATAATCAAAAAAGAGATCTGTGAACAACTAGAAGCAAACAAAATTATAACTAACAGCCAGCATGGGTTTGTTAAAAATAGATCATGCTGGACTTCCAGTTTGCCATCGCAGTGCTGTGGACACTAGAAGATGAGCTTCATCTTTCACATCTGAAAGTCACCCTGTAGGGGTGACGAGCAAGGAGGGGACCCTTCTGTTTGATCCGGGGAAGCCCTCCAAACCAGCAGGAGAAAGACCGGCCATAGCAATATGGCTTATCACTAAGCTGCTGACAGTCAAAATCACCACCAAGCATTTTTAAAGCAACACGGGTGAAACTAGGTGAGATCTGATCCTCTCTTTAAGACTTTAAGTATTTTTTCCTGTAACAGTTGCCCAAAGTATGTTTCCCCCTGTGAGGAGAGAGGGAAGGGAATTTCTACCCCACCCTCTAAGAAAAGCAACAGAGCAACTATAAGAACAATTTTAATCTAATTGGATGTGTATGCTTTTGAAACTTGGGGACTAAAGGTTTTCCTATTCTTACTGGAGATGTTTGTTTTTATCTTAAAAAGAAAATAAGACTTGAAAAACTATCATAAAAAGCTTTAAAAGGTGTCAGTGATAGCTTGTGGCGAAGTATGGTATTACAATTTGTTATTGCCTACAAATACTTGGCTTGAAGCCCAGACTCCAGAAAAATCTTCTCTGCCCTTGACAGTTACCACCTGTGCAAAACTCATCTGCAAAGAAGGAACTTCTGGGTGTAAACTTTTACTGACTTTCAGAGCTATACTTGGGGAATTGCTTTCCTATTTCTTTATATGAGAAGCATATGTTGTTATATGAGATGATGGAATACTTTGGACTACAAAAACTTATTTGACAAACAATTTCAACTATAAAGACCACCTATAACACATGAAATAGATCTCCCATATCTATCTATAAAAAAAACTATTTTTATTGTTTGATTCTAAAGTCTTCAACTTAACGTACTATCAAGAGAATATGAATGAAGATCAGGAAAAAAACCCTTTCCATGGTGAAATCAATACATAAAACCATTCTTTCAGCTTGTGACAAAATAAGATTCAACATAAAGGAACAAGATGCCAACTTAAATATATAAACCCAGATCTTGACTACAACCAAAGAACTAACAATGCAGAAAATAACAAGAAAAGTGGAACAACTAAACACTAAGACAGAGGACCCAATTGATCAACAGATCCAGCCAACAGAAAAATCAGAAAAAGGAGTGACAATACTGAAAATAGAAAAGACTTTTTAGAAACATCAGAAGAAATTTTCCTGTACCTGCACCAATCCTACCCTTTCCCTATCCATATAAAATCTAATAAAATATATTTTAAAAAAAAGAAAAAGAAAACCAAGCTTCTTTTTAAAGACGGCCGCCTTTGGTGGAGTCTTGAGCGATGACTTCTGCTCCTTTGAAGTTGAAGGTATGGCCATGTTCATCTATATGGGTCCAGACTTGGGAGCGTTGTTCTTGTCTTTTTACTGCTAGAATATGTTCATATATTCTAGTTTTAAGCCTTTTAGATGTCTCTCCAATGTAGTTACATTGGCATGTGTTGCAGTTAATTTTGTATATGATGGAAGACAAATCACTTGTTGGTGATGGCTCTTTAGGTCGCATTAGCTTGGAAGATAATGTTTGGTTAGGTTTGTGTGCGACGTTGATGTTGTGTGGGGCAAGAATCCTAGCAGTTGCTTCTGAAACTCCATTGATATATGGGATTGTTGCCCAAGTTGTAGTGGTTGGAGAATTATGGTTTGTGCGTGGTGTTTTATCCTTGCAGCAACGTCTGATGAAACTTGGTGGGTAACCATTTTGTTTGCATATGCAGAGGAGATATGCTTTCTCTTTAGACTTTGCTGTTTATGTGCTGCAGTG